GGCGAACCCCGGGCCGTTGCAGCAGAGCGCACCCACGTAACTGCTTGCGCCACCGGACCAGCCCTCAGACAGTTTCTAAAGGAAGAATCATCAACAGATTTTAATGACTGGTGGAAGAAAGTAGCAATAAGTGGATGAAAAAAGAAAGGTTTGAATGAATTCTACTTTAAGTCTCAAAATGGACATTTAAGGGGGAAAATGCTGATCCAAAGCAATGGCTGAGAGTATTGTGAATTAAGTGAAATCTTATCCATCCTTTAAACAAGTAAAACTGACTGGAAAACATCTCTGTTTGTTTTCTAGAAAGACTCCACCAGTTTATACCTATGGCCAACTAACGCTAAATTTGTCATTCTTACTAACTTTTTATAGCAATACCTCTCGCTCTTGATTTCTCAATATTTTAATTAAAAATGCACATAATTTCTATTGGTAAATCCAAGGATATTATTATTATTGTCGTTGTCATTGTTACTATTTTAATGTACTACTTATTGAAAATCTATTATTTGCCAGGTACTGTAATATAATTTATCTTTATCTTAAAATTCCATGAGGAAAAGATTGTCATCAAACTGAGGCTCAGCAAGGATTAAGTCTCTTGCCCAAGGCCATATGTGGCCTTCAACCTATGGATTAAAAAGTGACAGAGTAGAGATTCAAACCCAAGCCAAAGCACACACTCTTTCTGCACACCTTATACTAATCTCGGGACCCTGCTAATCCAAGGCTTGGTTTACATGGACTCTGTAGCCATTAGGCATTAAAAGTTTATTAGGGGCCGGCCCGGTGGCACAAGCAGTTAAGTGAGCGAGCTCTGCTGTGGTGGCCCAGGGTTTGCTGGTTCAGATCCCCAGCGCGCACCGAAGCACTGCTTGGCAAGCCATGCTGTGGCAGCATCCCACATAAAATGGAGGAAGATGGGCACGGATGTTAGCCCAGGGCCAGTCTTCCTCAGCAAAAAAAGAGGAGGATTGGCAGATGTTAGCACAGGGCTGATCTCCTCACACACACAAAAAAAAGTTTATTAGGCACACTCTCATTTTATGTTATTTTATTTTTTGCAGGGGAAGATTAACCCTAAGCTAACATCTGTTGCCAATCTTCTCCCTTTTTTCTTCCTTTTTGTCTCCCCAAAGCCCCCAGTACGTAGTTGTGTATAGTTGTAAGTTCTTCTGGTTCTGCTGTGTGAGCCACCACCACAGCATGGCTACTGACAGGTGAGTGGTGTGGTTCCATGCCGGGGAACTGAACCTGGGCTGCTGAAGTGGAGTGTGCTGAACTTTAACTGCTAGCCGATCCGGGCTGGCTCCAGAAAGCATCTTTAAAACATGGGAAAACAGAACAGATTTTCAAAATGGAGAATCCTTTATTTGTAATTCTTTCATCCTTTAATTCCAATGGAGAATTTAGAGCCCCTTTCACCTTCCTTTCAGCTTTAACTATTATAGGCAAATTGATTAATTAATTAATTAAGGCCCACTCCCCACCCAACCCTGACTGCCTTCCTTGCCAGAAACAGGGCAGGTCTGGAGAACACAGGAGTGCCCACAGAATTTGATCTTCATTATAACTTTTCCCTTTTGTGCTCAGCTAACAGTAACTACCATTTTTTAAAGTGCTTGCTGTATGCCAGCTGCTATGCTAAGCTCTTTACATAGGGTATTTCATTTAATTTTAACAACAACCTTATGTGTATGAAAAATAACCAATAACCATTCTATAGATAAGAGAGATAATGTTAGTTTACTTGAGCCAAGTTGAGGATTATAACACAGGAAGGCAGTTTCCACAAAGGAAGAAAGTGTTCTGGAGAAACATGGTTTTCAGTACAGTTTTATAGCTTTTTAGAACAAAGAAAATACATTAAACATTCTCAGGATACATATTCATCAAAGTTTCGAAGAGATATTCAGTTTCAAATTAGCAGGTTAACATGACCCCGATGTCTGGGAAAGGGAACTTAGCTTTGGTAGTACTAATACGGGCGTTACCGGCACCGGCAATACTGGCTGATACTGGCATCGTAGGAGGGGTAGTATGCATCCTTATCATAAGAGAATGCATTCTTTAATAGTTAAAGCAGATGTACAATGTATGTTTGATAGGCAATAGGTTAGGCTGCTTTAGTTCAAGCCAAATTAGTTTTGAACCAGAATAGCTACCCCTTTATATCAATATGTGAAAATCTCTTGTAACTTATGAAGTACGTATTGATATGACTTGCATCAATGAAGTTTGAGAACAGAAATTGAGCAGCTCCAGGACTAGAGCCCAGGTTGGTCAGACTCGAAAACTACGCTCCACTGTTTACATTATAAATTTTTCTTGAATCAATGAATGATTTCTCTTGCTCCTTTTTGGTAATCCAATTTCAAGATTTCAAGACTCCATTTCAAGATGTCTACAGATAAAACCCATCAGATGGAGACCACCAGGAACACATGAAGCTGGGTACCTGAGGGTTGCTGTAAATATTCAATTCTTTTGACCTTGTTCCCAACAAAGACATAGATGAAAAGAAGTTAATCTTGTCAACATCCTGTTTTCTTGTTTAACTTGAGGGGTGACTCACAGGTCACAAGGATTTATGAGCTTGTTTTGCAGAAGAAAAAGCATGCCTTCAAGGAAGTTAAGATCACCAGATAACCAGCCCCTAGTTGCAGTTGACACTCAGAAGTCTGGTTGCCCAAAGGCTTATCTGGAGTGAAAGGAACAAGGGTTTCCCCTTTGTTTCTCTGAAACTCCTCTTGCCAAGCCCCTTAGCTTTATAAAACACCCTGCTTTCCTCTCTTGTGAAGGCGGATTTGAGAGAACCTGTCCTCTTGCCTTCTCATTTTGGCCAATTCGAATAAATCTTTCTCTGCCTCCAAGCACCAATGTCTCAATGTGCAGCTTACTGTTTATCGGGCACATGAACTTGAGATTAAGAGGTTTGGTATCACACACTTGCAGTTAACCAAAGTTTGGTTTATTTACTTGCTGCTGCAAGGGAGAACATGAGGCCTCTGGGGGAACCCTGAGGAGTCTGGGCGTGAGTAGCCTGGGCTTACCTCAGGGTGTGGGCCTGTGCTGAATGATTCTGGGGAGCGACCAGGGGAAGCAAGGATCAGCTGTGGATTGGTGCTGCCATGAAGCAGGGACAGTTGAGCAATTGAGGTTTCTCTGTAATTGTTCTGGAGGCAACAGGAACAAAGCAGAGCAGGAGATGTCACTGGTAACAAAGCAGGAATCACTCCAAAGGAGAGAGGCTGTATAGCCTGAGGAGAAACACTGTTTACATGGCCTTGGCCTCCTCCCATTGGAAACATTATTTTAGGTTCTGTTAGGAATAGTCTAGTCTGATTACCTATTTCCTTGGAAACTACAATCTCAAAACCTCTTATCTGAAGCTCTGGGTTGGAAATTGAGCTGCTTCCCTGTGTTAACAGGTCTCAGATCTTGAGTAGGAGTGAGACATTCCACTCTTACTGATAGTTCAAATGGCAAAGTGACAGTACTTTCCAATAGAAGTGTAATGTGAGCCACAACCACAATTAAATTTTTTCTAATAGTTACATTAGAAACAGGTGAAATTAATTTTAGTATTATATTTTAACTCAATATATCCAAAATATTATTATTTCAACACAAAGTCAATATAAAGAACTATTAAATTAGATATTTCACTTCTTTTTTTTGTACCAAGTCTCCAAAATCCAGTATAGTAGATCTCAATTTGGACTTTAGACTTTCATTGGAATATTTGATATTCATTGGAATATTATGATACCAAGCAATGGGCTCACTCTGCTCACCAAGATCTGAGCCAATTATTCACGAGTGAGTTAGAGATCAAGCAACAAAGTTTAATTAGATTAGCCAGAAAATAGGAAGACAAGTGACTAATGTCTCAAAACCCATCTTCAGAGATTACAGAACCTTGAGGCAGTTATATCAGGAAAATGGGCAGTAAGGAGGAGGTCCAGGGATGTTGGTCTCTAGATGTGATGGCCTCCAGGCACTACGTTGTTCCATTCTTCTGTCAGCTGTGATGGCTACTTTGTAGGTCTGTTTCCCACCTGTGGTCAGCCTGTTCCTGGAAAGAAACTCATAGAACAAAATTTTTAATTTATCAAGCCATTGGGGAATACATATGTAAGCAGAGGCCATAAATCAGGAGAGCATGTGGATTTTTTTGGAGCACGTGCAGCACAGCAAGTAGTCACATAGAGGAGGGGCTGGGGCCATTTAGTGTAACAAGATGGTCTCATTTATACTCACTTACATTTAGACATCATAAAATTTCCAGTTGAAAAGTAAATTCATATACCCAAGTTGTTCAAGACATACTTGAGAGTTTTTCAGTAACTGAATCAAGTACCAGTTTGTAAATTCAAATTTAAACCACTAAAGATTAGGTAAAATTAAAAATTCAGTTCCTCAGTCACACTATATTTTAGGTCAATGGCCACATGTGGCTGGTGGCAGCCATATTGGACAACTCAGGTCAAAGATTCTAGGGAACAAGTCTTCTCACCATCATGCTCTTTATGGTAACGAATAAAAGCAGATTTTACATGTTTACGTTATCTTTAGTGCTTTTTCCTCCTATCCCATCTTTTTTGTAACCATAAATTCTCTGCCACACTAATTAAACTCTCAATTTTCTTAGACTCCAATTTTTCTCTTCAGCTGCAGAGCAGACCCACCTACCCAAAATGTAAGCTCAAGGCTGCTGATCAGCCCTGTTCTCTCCCCTTTGCAGGGATTCTATCATCATTGTAAAATGGGGACATTATCTTCTACTGCTTCCAAGTACATCCCTAATAACATAAAGAAATTATAAAGAAGTTTTTCAAAGATCTTCCCTGACATTAGACACCATTACAGGTAAGACGCATCACAGGTTCCTTCGGACAGAAATAATTAGAAGTGCCCTGAGTCAGCATTAAAGAGTTTTGGCAGACTGTGTGCAGCCCTCCTCCCATCTACATCAGTCTATTAGGATAAGGCCATATGTCATCCAGCTCACACAGCCCAGGAGTGCTTGTGCCTCAGGAGGATCTCATAGAGGGAAAAGTACACTCACATTCATGTTTCAATTCTGCCTTTGACTAATCATGAATCATTGGGTACACAATTTTAATCAGCATGTTTTCTGAGGTGTACACTGATACTTGCTTTAGTATTAACATCTTCAATTTTCAGAATAAAAGGAACCAAAGAGATATAATATGGTATGATCATTTTTTTTTTCCTGTGGAAGATTGGCCCTGAGCTAACATCTGTTGCCCATCCTTCTCTTTTTGCTTGAGGAAAATTTGCCCTGAGCTAACATTTGTGCTGATCTTCCTCTATTTTGTATGTGGGTCACCAACACAGCATGGTCACTGATGAGTGTTGTAGGTGTGCAACCACAAACCTAACCCAGGCAGCTGAAGCAGAGCACACCAAAATTAACCACTAGGCCATGGGCTGGCCCCTATGATCATTTTGAGAGGCAGCCTCGTGTTCTAGAAAGAGGATAAACACTGAAGTCAGAGACGTGTGAATTCAAATCTGTAGCCATGTAGTCAAGGCATTAAGAAATGCTATCCCTGTAAGATGTGCTTTAAAGTGGGGACTTGGAGTCACAAACCAGCAGCTATAGCAGTCTTGCTGACTCTGCAATGCTCTGCTTCCCTAGATCAGGACTGGATTAATATGTAGGTATTAGCTTCATTCTGGAGAAGTTTTGTGTCAAGTTACATCTTTTACAGTATGTGTTCCCATGGGAGGGTGTGTGAAACAGGCTCCAAATGCAAGCCTAAGGATTTTTACACTCCCTGAAAGGAGCATCTGACTCATCAATTCACTTCCTAAGTCGTTTCATTTCCGCATTCACACTACAAGAAAATGTCATCAAATAGTCCCTGCAAATGCTCTTTACAAGCTCATTGAAATATATTGGCTTATAGCACTCCTTTTACTACTGTTTTATTGAGCAATTTTTATTGACTGTAAAACGTGAATATTTTATGATTATAAAACAATTGAAGCTCATTGTAGAAAAATTCGGAAAATATGTAACCAAAGAAGAAAATTAAAATGATTACTACACTCTCTAGATCTAATAATTATTAGAATTTTAATATTTCCTTCAAATATTTTTTCTTTGTCCACTTTCTGTGTGTGATCTGGGGCAGCTTACTTTCAGGCAAATTACTTACCACTCTGTATCTCAGTTTCCTAACCCTAGCTACCTCAGAAAATTCTTGTGAGGATTCATTGGGTAGAGCACTTGCAGAACGGTGCCCAGCACATAGCAAGAGCTTATTCACTATTAGCAATTATTATAATTAGATATTAATATGTTTATTTTCCAAAACTGGATTAAAACTAAATTATAGTTTTGTATTCTGCTTTTTTTTAAACTTGTCATTACTTTGATAGTACTTTCCTGTCTCATTCATTTTTTTCCTTATGTGAATATTTTTTCTTTTTTTGGTGAGGAAGGTTGGCCTAAGCTAACATCTGTTGCCAATATTCCTCTTTTTGCTTGAAGAAGATTGTTGTTGAGCTGCCATCTGTGGCAATCCTCCTCCAAGCTAATATCTGTGTCAATCCTCCTCCACCTTGCACGTAGGATGCCACCACAGCATGGCTTGATGAGTGGTGTGCAGGTCTGAGCCCGGGATCTGAATCCATGAACCCTGGGCTGCTGAAGTGAAGCGTGAACTTAACCATTATGCCACTGGGCTGGCCCCCTTATATGAATATTTTTAAAAGCCTCATTGATAAAGCTGCTGTTCCAGATAGAAGCAGAATCCTCTTCTTGGAAGAACTGTTTGGAGATTTTTATGGAGGACACAATTCACCAGTGTTCAACTGAGACTGTACTCGCTTAAAAGTCTTCTTTTATAAAACATAAATACTACTATGATTTAAAAGACTGAAAATAGTACAATGTTCAGAAGTTATTAGTGTTTATTAAAATTTCACTAATTTTAGTTTAGTCATTAGTAGTAGGCATTCAATAAGCAGTTGCTGGTTAGCTCATTAAGTGATTGTTTCAATAAAAGAAGTTGATTAATGCTAAAAGAGGTCACCACAGCCACTCTGAATTTAAACAAGGTATTTGTTTACAAGTTCACCATTAGAAGAACCATTTGAGACCAAGAACTGCACTTATTTACTTGTGTTGTCCTCAATGCTTAAATATAGTACTCGGTACTTAGGGCTCAATGAATGTTGAATTAAACTCCAAAAAAAGAAAAAATTAAAAATTAGATAACCAGTTATCTAAATTTGATAGGTTCTATAACTGATTTAAAAAATAGGTAAATCCATAAATACAAATTAATGCTACAATTTGGTTAATTGTGGGTTGCTGGGCTCATCCCTGTTGCCCTACCACTTTTTACCATTTGATGATACCCTTTTCGAGTATTAAAAATGGTTATGCAGTTGGAGTCAACGAGCAATTGTCCCACTTTCCAAACTATGTAAACACATCGAGATCTTATAACCTCCAAGCCTCCAAATAACCATTGAACATGTCTAAAATTTACAGTTATTGTGATAACAATTTATTCACATTTGTAATTGTAAAATAACAGCATCCTACTATTAAACATTTTGAAGAAAAGAGGAAAGAAAAATGTCTTCTCTATTTCCACTTTGACATGGTTATTATAATTTTGGTATATTCCGGTTCACTTTTTTCAATAGTGAATAAGCATTGTACATTTCATTCAAAACTAACAGTATGTCATATGCATTTTTCTATGTTGTTAGTTGGCTTTTACAGTTATGTTTTACTGATTGCATAATATGCCATCATATAGATGAGACTAATTACTAACCCCTTCCCCCATCACTGACATTTAAATTGCTTGCAATTTTTCATTGTCAGGAAACTGGTGAACATCTTTAGGCATATAATTTTATGATAAATCATCAGATATGGCATTTTGGAGTAAAAACATCTCTGAAGTTTTATAGCTTTTAGCACACACTGCCAAAGTGCTTTCCAAAATGATTATATTAATTTAGAGTGCCATCAGCTTTGTAAAAATAATTCACCATCCACACACCTGAATTCATTGTTATAAATATGATATTGGCATAATTTCCCCGTCACAAAGAAAATCACCAATTTATTTCTAGCATTTCTTCTACATACGTGTATTCATTTACCCTAAAATACATAATAATGGAATTTTTATATACTTTTAAGTGGCACCATGACGTCTTCCACAGCCTCTTTCTTAACAGTTTTTTGTTTCAGAGTTTCTATGATTATAATAACTGCTGATTCATTAATTTTCAATACTGAGGTAATATTCTGATTTTAAGTCATCATTATTTCAGGTTAGAATGTATCATAAACATTGTACAGTTAAAGTTAATAGAAAGGACAATAATTTTGCAGACCTATACTAATAAGTACAAACTTAAAAATGTTTCTTTAACTTGGAAGAATGTGTCCTTTTGATGGTAACAATCTCAACTAAAAGAATTGTGCTATCTTTGCTAATTTCACTATGTAGTTGAACCTAGAAGTGCTTAAATATAACATAGATAAGTAAAATTCCATAGAAATTCAATAACATTTTTCTCCACAGGTTCTCTCTATTTCCTTCTATCCCTATTTTGTTTATTGCAATTACTAGCATGATTTATGAATTTGTTAAAAGAAACAATTACCCCCATACAATCACTGTTAGGAAACATATATTTCTAAAGACCCTACATCAGAAGAGGCTAATTAGTAATTTTGGAAAAATAGGGTAAGTAGACTATGGTATTTATAAACATCATTTCCAATTTTTTTCAATTAAAAATACTTTAACAACAGTAGGTTTTATCTACACAGAGCTTTCCAGTTTTCAGAACTTTTTCACATGCATTATTTCCACTTCATCCTATCAATTCTATCAAGTACGTATATAGATAGATATTATCATTACCATGTTTTGTGTATGGGAAATCTAAGATTAAGAGCCACGATTTGCCCAAAGATAAACATCTAATAAGTGGTATGGCTAAGACTGAAATCCAGCTTCAACTCTTGGCCAGGAATTTTTCATTTTACTATAATAAAATTAGATGACACTATACACATGAACCCCTCTCCCCTGACTATATATGTGCATTTTTCTCAATTAAATATTGAGGTTGTTATGTTGTATCAAAACATGATTATCCTATTGAAGTTTGAAACAGTAAAGCCACATCTCTGTTTAGATGGCCTTCTCTGAATGAGATCATCCCACATACCTTACAAAGAAGTGGCTCTTCAATCAGGAAACCAGAACTGTGCAGGCCCCCTCTAAGAAAGTAGACAGGTCGTGTCTAGACTTGTAGGAGCAGATTCTGGGTGGTGGGCTTAATAGATATGCCCAAAATATGAAGGGAGGCAGAAAGGTGAAGAGGGAAAAATTATGCAACATCTCTTTATTTCTGGGTTCCCTTGGGTCTGCACAAGGTCTGTGGCAAATCAGATTATCTTCTGTGTTTCTCACACTGGAAAACACCTAATCACAGGATAATTATGGGGCTTCCTCCTGGAGCACCTACCTCCACTGATGATTTTGGGAATAAAATACAATTTTAATATTAAAATAAATTCCTTATATACTTCAGATTTTATGAAAAAATGCATCAATATGGTTTTTAGGGAAAAAAATGAGAGTTTGACTAACTTTTGAATGTGATGGACCACTTTACTGCTTCGGACCACTGAAGATACCATGAACACTTCTACCCTTAGGTCTACACAGTGGAAAATGTTTAAGAAATACAGCACGACAGGTATTATCCTTTTACAATCCCCTAGCACTTAAAATAAAGTCCTGTTTGAAATACACCAGCTTTGTTTCAGTTATAAGGAATCAATGGACTGACAATTTGGACTAAAGACCCCTAAGGGACGCTATATTTCAGGGATATTAAGTTGGTGCTGCAAAGACCAGCTACCATCACTTATAGTAGGAACGTTAGAGGTTCTAGGTGTTATTTTTAGTAAGGAGGATTGCATTCTTTATACATGCTTTCCTTCTTCTATTGAATTTTACCATGAACCAAGTTGGAGGAAGAACCTGTTTGACAGAACTTATTGTCTATAAACCCATTTGGGTCTGGTGTTTCCTTTATGGGAAGATTTGTAGCCACAGTTCTAGCTTCTTTGATTAGTTGTAGGACTATTTAACTTTTTATTGAATTTATCCATTAATTTAAGTTTTCAGAATTTGTATATCACTCGAGGGTATTCACTTCTTGTCTTTTTAATTCTTTATCTGTAATTATCCCTCTGTTGTGGATTGCTAAAAATTGCTCCCAGTGAGGCATTCCTCCCTGTGCCCACTCCCCTTTGAATGTGACTTTGCTACTCCTCCCATCAAGATTCAACCCCCTTGAATCTGGGCTGGCCCTGTGATTTGCTTTGACCAATAGAATGAGGTAGACGTGACATTCTGGAACTTCCAAATCCACGTCTTATGAGGTCTTGCACATATGCCAAGAAGGAACACAGCTACCATGTAAAGAAGTCCAAGCTAGTTTGCTGGGGAGAGACCAAATGGAGAATCTGCTGGAGAGTGAGAGACTAACCATGCAAAGAGAATGGCCCCACTTGATGGTCAGAAACATGGCTAAAGATGAGTGAGACCATTTTGGATCCTCTCACTCTAGTGGGAGAATGAGATGAGAGAATTAGAAAAGAGATCCCTACCCATCCTAGCCAGTGCCTGGCCTTTTGATACAACCCAGCTGAGAATACTGACATGAAGCAGAGATGAATTGTCCCACTGATATCTGCCCAAATGCCTGACCCATTGAATCAAGAGCAAATAAAATGGTTGTTGTTTTATGCTACAAATTTTGGGATAATTTGTTACACTGCAGTAGATAACCAATATAGTCTGCTTTGTGTATTCTCATTCATGATATTGTTTGTGTCTTCTTTTTTTGATCAATCTTGCTAGAGTTTTATCTATTTTAATTTTTTCAAAGAATGAAATTTTAACTTTGTTATTTTCTATCTTTACTTTCTTTTTCACTGCTTTCTGTTCTTTCTTTTATTATTTTTCTATTTTCTTTGACTTAGTTATTATTTTTCTAATTTCTTAAAAAAGACATATATCTCATTAGTTTTAAGACTTTCTTCTTTTGTAATATAAGCATTTAAAATTTCTTTCAAAACTTTTGCTATATCCCACAAGTTTTGAATTGTTTTTTCATAATCTTTTAGTTATAGACATTTAAATTTTCCATCATAAGTTCTTCTTAAACCCAGAAGTTATTAAACAGGGATTTTAAATTTATTTTTTTGCTCTCAATTTCTAACTGTATTAGATCTATGAAGTTTGTTGAAGCTTTCTTCATGGCCTAGTGTTTGATCATTTTGTAACTCTTCCACATGCACTTAAGGAAAATATGTATTCTCTGATTGTTGAGTGTTCATTTGGTCAAGTTGATTAATTGCTTTGTTCAGATCCTCTACATATGATTGCTAAATTATGTCTGTTTGTTCAATCAATACCAAGAGAGGTGTGTTGAATCACTCACAATAATGGCTGATTTATCAATTTTTTTTTGTAGTTCTGTAAATTTGATTCATCAATTGTGAGGCTATTTTATTAGATGCATACATGTTTCAAATTACTCTAGCTTATTGGATAGAATATTTTATCATTGCACCATGACCTTCTCCATTCCTAAAAATGTGTCAGCTTTCTTTTGGAAAACTGCTTGGCAATTTCTCATAAAGTTAGGTACACCCAGAATGACCCAGAAATACCACACCTATATTTCCCCAAGAGAAATAAAACACGCTCACAAAAAAGACTTATACAAGAATGTTTATAGCTACTGAGGACCTTAAATAAACAGACAGCGAGTTATTTCTCCAGCAAAAATGGGTTTATTCGGGACCAACAAAAAATTGCAATTTGAATTCTGCAACCGTGACGAGCCACATGCAAGTCTCTAACAGCAAGGGGAGGAGAAACTCTTTTATAGAGGGAAAAAGAAGTCGGGAGGGCTATTGAAAACAAAGAGTCCAGAGGTGGAGTAGTATTTCACTGGCTGAGTTGTGACAGTCTCTCATTGGCTGAGCTTCTTGTTCGAGAAGAGAAAGTCGGTCTTCCTCCTGTTGGGCACAGCTATAGAGGTAGGGTGTGAGAGCTCCCCCCCTTTGGCCCCCAGGCTCCAATTTAATGAGGTTCCTGTTTATTAATTTCCACACAACTTTATTCATAATAGCTAAAAACTGAAACAATCCAAATGTCCATCAACAGGTGAATGGATAAACAAAGTATTCAATGGAATACTTTTCAGCAATAAAAACAACGACCTCTTGATTCATGCAACAGTAGGGATGGATCTCAAACACACTATGCTAAGAGAAAGAAGGCCCACTCAAAAGAGTACCTACCCCCTTTATTTTTTTGGTGATGGAAATCAGAGTGATACCGAAACTCTTAATGTTACTGCACAAAGAGCATGATCAACTCACCTTGAGACAAAAGCCAGTTGTCAAGAGGCAAGATGGTGGCAGAGAAAGGGCACCTTATTACAGCTTGCTAGCAAGAGGGAAGATGGCCAACTAATGTCCAAAAGAACCATCTTAAGGGGGCACAAAATCTTAACAGCAGTTATATAGGCTGGTGGGTTATAGGGTAGGGGGTTAGAAATGTTGACCCTTGGGTGTTACAGACTGGGAGTTGCCACACCAGATCTTTCAGTTGTCATTGATGATGGCTATCAGAATAGACTTTCTGATCTGGGGCCATCACATTTCTAAGGAAGTCAAGAGAACAAAGTTATCATCTTATCACAGCTGGGAGGTACATGCATAAGCAAGGGTCATAAAATCTACAGAGCAGTTAGATCTCCTAGAAGGTGCATAGCCAGCTGGGTTAGTTTGTCAAAGGTCATTCAAAGTTACAATAGGATTTCTTTTCTACAATATGGTTTCCCTTATGTCAACATTGTCTTGAGCTGGTATCGTTAATCTCAAGTACGTATGTCCGATGCCCAGCAAGCCAAACGCTGAGACATTGGTGCTTGGAGATGGAGAAATATTTATTTGAATTGGCCAAAATGAGTAGGTAGGAGCCTAGGTTTGCTCAAATCCACCTCCCCCAGAACACCAAGCAGGGGGGCGGTTATAGAGCCAAGGGGCTCAGCAGGAAGAGCTTCAGAGAAACAAAGGAGTCACTCCCAATAAGCCCCTGGGCAATCAGACTTCTGGGCTTCAACAGCTGTTTAGGGCTAGCAATCTGGTGATCACAATCGCCCCAAAGGCATTTTCTTTCTCCTACAAAACAAGCTCACATATCCTCAAGACCCCTCAAGTTAATCATCCATCAAGTTAAACAGGAAAAATAGCAAATTGGTTTAATATCTACGGTACCCCTCAGGTACCCGACTTCAAGAGGAGTGGTTGGCTGCCTGAGGGATGGGTGACTGGACTAGAGGATGAGAGAACTCTTGGTTATTGGAAATGTTCTGTATTCCAATTGGGTGGTTGTTACACAGCTGTTTACGTTTAGCAAAACTCATCAAATCATACACTAAAAAATAAATCCTTTTCACTGTATTTAAATTTTACCTCAAAAAAATAGACCAAAAAAAAGACTGGCAACGTTGGAAAGTAACACTAAAAGATGTAAGTGACATTGGCTCAAGACAAGGTTAACATAAGGGAAGCCATACTGTAGAAAAGAAAAACTCTATTGTAACTTTGAGTGACCTCTGACTAACCCAGCTGGCTATGCAGCCTCCAGGAGATCTAACTGCTGTGTAGATTTTATGACCCCTGCTTGTGCATGTACCTCCCAGCTTCGATAAGATGACAACTTCATTTTTTTGAGTTCCTTAGGAATGTGATGACCCCTAAACAGAGAGTCTATGCTGATAGCCATCATCAGTGAAAACTGAAAGATCCAGTGTGGCACTTCCAGTCTGCAACACCCGAGGGTCAACATTCCTAACCCAATGGCCTATATAACCGCTGTAAGATTTTGTGCCCCTTTAAGATGGTTCTTCTGGACATGAGTCCGCCATCTTCCCTCTTGCTAGCAAGCAAGCTGTAATAAAAAGTCCTTTTTCTCCCACCACCTTGCATCTTGACTATTGGCATTTCTTGTGGTGAGCAGAAGGCCCCAAGTTGGGCGGTTAACATAAGGAGGAATTTGGTGTGGTACACACTTTTTAAAAGGTCTCAAGTGAAGAAAACATTCCAGTAAGCTCTGCTGGATTTATGAGAGTAAATAAGGACATTAAAAAGCCCTGCAAACCGAAGTCCCTTCTCGGTCTGAGCGCTTTCATCCTTCCTCCAATGCTCTCAGCCCTGGGAGCTCTGGGGCAGATTCCGGACGGCCTGCCTCACTGCCACCTCCCCCACCACAGAGCGCCAGGCCACCTGGCCCTCGGCTGGCGCCAGAGCCCCCTGTGCTCCGCCCCTCACCCATAATCACGAATCGGACCCGCCCATTGTTTCCTCTCACACCCCTCCTTTGAACCATCCGTTCACCTTTCAATCAATTCTAGTAGCTCAAGGAGCGAACCAATCGCAAGGGAAGGGGTGGGCCCCTTTCCCGGAGGAGCTGCTCAGAAGCCCTTCAGGCAGAGGCTGGGTGCCGGCAGTTTGGGTTCAGTGGGGGCACGGTTGTGGGCGTCCTGCTTCGGAGGCGGCTGCGGTTCTCCAGACCGGGAGCGTTCCTTGACTTTTGGTTTGGTTCAGGTTTCACAGTAGAAGCTCCCTCGTATAGGTGGGTGCTGGGAGCTGGAGGAAGGGCGCTGGCTCGCCTCCTTCTGGAAGGTCTAGAAGGGTCCGAGGTCCGGCAGCAGCGAGCTGCACAGCGCTCAGGGGAGGCTCCTATAGTACTGGGTTACCTGTCCTTCTCGGACCTGACTCAGTCCTCCAGAAGAGTAAATGTTTGTTGCCATGATCTATGTAGCAGTCAGCGTTTCACCACTGGGCTGTGATTGGCCTTTGGGGCGGGATAATACTTAGCATCCTTGGCCCAGACATTCAATTCCAGCAGCTGCTCCCAGAGCCTGTGACAACTAAATCCGCCCTGGTGGACAACCTCTAGGCAAGCAAGACTAAGGCACTCTAGACTTTCAACCTGGAAGAAACTCGTCAGCCAAAGAAGGGAACTTAGAGGTACTCTATGTGAAGAGTTAGGGTGCCAGGTTTGAGATCCCAGCTCCACCACCTGTTCGATGTGCTAACGTGGGCGGTTAATTTCCCTCACCTGTATAACAGTGATAATACTAACTACCTGTTAGGGTTTAGGTGATAATTAAATATGCCTTTAGTATTAACTCGCACTCTTGCCCACGCTCTTTTTTTGCTGTGTATAGTGCTATGCTGTATTTTAAAATAACTAGTGTTTTATTTTTCTTTAACATTTAGCAAATTAATGCTTGCAGGAGGTGGCAAATGAAATAGTAGAGTGCTTGATGAAAAGCACAGTCCTTTGTCACTGCCCCTAGGCTCTTAAAGGAGAATGTTATTAGCATCCAGATCAGATGAATTCTCATTTTTTATATACCTGTAGATTGCTTAAAATCATGTAACATTTTAATTTGTTGCACTTGTGTAGACTTTTATCTAGAATTTTCTCGTGGACTGTCTTAGTTATTCTTGTTGTTGAAGAGTATAGTGTGCTTAATAACTTTTTTAACTTCCTAATGGCAGACCCTCCCCTTTTTCTTTTTTTTTTTTTTTTTCTTTTAACCTGGCAAGACTTCTGGAGAATCAGTCCTCTTTCTCGGATTGGGCTTGGTTGTTTTCTATACCAGCTGCATAGGTAACCCCCTTAGACTTCCCACTTTCCTATATTTCTTTCCCTCATCTTTCTTGGAACACATGATATTCTGTTTCTTGTCCTTCTCCCTTGTTTTGCTTGAATACATTCTCAAGAATGTTTCTAAGAAAAGGATATGTGCTAAGTAAACTATATGATTTCTTACTTGGTAGAAAATTTTATTCTGGCCTCATAAGGGCAAACTGATATGGTTATCCTTCTATATCACCATGGTAATTCTTCTGAAAACCCCTCTTGTTCTCAATCTTGTATACCCAACTGCCTGTTTATCAGCCCTATCTGTCTAATAGGCATCTTATGTGTTTTGTTTGCTTTGTTTTTTGGCTTGAGAAAAAATGCCAGGCTGCCTACCTTCATCACCAGGGGAAGGTTAGGAAATTATTCTATATACTGTCCTTCACTTCCTTTCCCTATTCTCACCTTTACTTCACACTTGTTATTTTGTAATGTTCTGTAGGGTAAGCCTAGAGCCTCTTGTTTATGCTATGGACCATAGCTTCCTGGGCTTCACTTCATTTGTCAAGCAAGGCTGTATATAGAACCCCAAGATAGATTGTAGTGTCTTGATAACTTTCTTCCCACTCCTCAGTGTCACATATTTATTCCATTTTATACTTTAAACTTTTTATTTCAAAAGGATCTGAGGTGGGACAGGAGGTGAACACGAATCTTAATTTTTTAAATAATATGAAAATCTATATAAGTTGATCTATCTTTCTTTTCCCAGATAGGATGGCTTTGTCACATTTTGCCGGTCAAGAAAGAAAGGATTTAAGTATTGGCATGATAAGAACTAAAATTGCTCATAGGAAATCTGTCTCAGAAAGCAAACAGACGTAAGGAATATGAACAAAATAGACACTTTGGTTCTTCCAACCTTGGAAGGTAGAAATTTTGAATTAGATAAGATGTCTCAAGAGCTTATTCGAGAGAAGATCAGTGTCAAGCAAAGTAAGTAAAGATCTATTGTTATTTTAAGTGCTTTGAAGAGTGAATAAAGGTTGGTTTAATACCTGAGGTTAAAAAAACCTTAATCAGGGGATGACCCAGTGGTGTAGTGATTAGGTTCACATGCTCTGCTTTGGAGGCCTGTGGTTTGTGGGTTTGCATCCCAGAGCGGACCTACATGTGACTCATCAAGTCATGCCATGGTGGTGTTCCACATACAAAAAAGAGGAAGATTGGCAACAGATGTTAGCTCAGGGCCAATCTTCCTCTCTCTCAAAAACCAACCTTGACCAGAAGAATGGAGTTTTGAAATACCATTCTAAATAACTTGGTGTTTTCTACAAATAAGTACTATCTGTTGAAGGTAAAGGCTGTGAAGGTTCCTAGCTAGGCTGAAGCCATTCACCTAGGGAGTATTATAACACTTTATTATCTATATTGCTTTATAGGAATCCTAAAATTGTCACTTCTGGAGTTTGAATAAGATAAGTATCGACAAGATAATCTGATAAGTGACATTAAAATAGAAATTTTATAGAGAAAGAAATGAGGTTTCAAATTAACTGTTTACTGCTTCAGTTTTATCGTTTTCCAGGACCCGTGTAATATGCAGCATGTACAAGACATTCAATGTATTCAAGCTTAGTTGATTCTGTAAAAGAGGGGTTTGAGCTAAAATGTTTCTTCCAGATTTATCATTTCTGTGACTGAAGGAAAGTGAGAGAAAAGAATTGGACAAAAGTGTTGTAGGGTTGTTTTTATTTTTGAGATGAGGTGATCAGTGCATGTTTGAAGGTCAAAGGAAATGGGTTGGTAGCTGAGGGGGAGAAAGTAAAGAATAATATCTCTTAGGAGTTGGGAGGAAATGAAAACTGGGCCATAGAATGACATAGGATGACCTTTAAAGGAAGAACTAGACATTTTTTGTCTGAGAAGAGGTGATATTATTGCCCCCTACGTCAGCTCCTTGCTTCTACTTGAGCCATCTCAAATATTCCATTCTTTGACAAAAATCTCTCCAATGAAAATCTATCTCCATCAATATGCTATTAAAATATCCTTTATTTCCCATTTGCAAAGGTCTAGAGCTGGGTTTAGGCCTGGCACGTTCCAGAGAAAACAAGTAGGTGAGCACGGCTAGAGAAGCAGGGACAAGGGGGACAGCTCCTGTAGAGCCCGAGGGCCATCTTTATAAAGAGATTAGCTTTTACTCTGAGTGAAATGAGAAGCCATTATTGGATTAATGTGTTTATATAATCTGATTTATGTTTTAAATGCATCACTTATAGATTATAGGGTGACAAGCATGGCCTCGGGGAGACCAGTTAAGAGACTATTGCAATAATTTAGTTGATGGTTGATCACAATGGTAACAGCAATGGTGGGTGGTTGCATTCTGGATATATTTTGAAGTTTGAACCAATAGGATTTCCTAATGGAGTGGATATAAGTTAATAAAGAAAGAGAAGTCAGGATGATTCCCAGGTTTTTGGCCTGAGCAACTAAAAATATGGGGTGGCCATTTGCTAAATTGTAAAAGACTGAGAGAGGAACCTTTTTGTTTGGGGGTGGGGGTTAATAACATTAAGAGTTCAGTTTTGGATGTGTTAAATTTGAGATGCCTATTAGACATATAAGAGATGTTGAAAAGATAGTTGGATGTACAAAATGAATTCATTAGAGAAGTCTAAGATGGAGATATAAATTCAGAGGTTGTCACCTTATTCATGGTGTTTGAAGCTATAAGACTGGATGGATATGATTACCCAGAGTTTTGCTGTGCAAAAAGGAGAGAAGAGAGGTGAGCACTCCAACATTTAGAGGGTGAAGGGAAACTAGCAAAGAACTGAGGAGCAATGCAAAGTAAAGTAAGAGAACAACCAGAAGAGTGCAGTGTCTTAGAAACCAAGTGAAATGAGCATATCATGGAGAACAGACTAATTATGCTGGTGCTGCTTGTGAGGTCAAGTAATATTAGAAGTGAGAATTTGAACTTCACTGTGAGGGTCACTGGTGATCATGATGAGTAAGTTTTGGTGGAGTGAAAGCCAGATTGGAATGGGTTCAAGAGAGAATGGCAGCACCATCTAGGACATTTTCTTGCTCCAAAGGTTAAACTTGAGTCTAATCAAACTCTTAGATATTTTCAATTTATAGAAAATATGAAGGTTAGAGGAATGAATAAAAAATATGAGAAAGCAAACAAATGTAGAGTGCAGGACATTTGGTAGGACCACTGACTAGCTTTTGTCAACAAGATAATGGCCTGGAAAAAAGAGTGAGGAAGAGGATCTGTTTTAGATGAAGAGACTTGAAAGACATCCAGATACAATGTAATCTTGCTTGGTTCCTGATTTGAACAAACCAATGGTTAAAAAAAAAACAAAAACAAAAAGACCTATTTGAAACCAACAGGGAAGTCTAAATCTGGTACCTGTAGTAGAGGACAACATGGAATTACTGCTGTTTTCTTTTTATTATTTATTTATTTATTTTTTGTGTGAGGAAGATCAGCCCTGAGCCAACATCTGTGCTAATCCTCCTCTTTTTTTTTTTTTTTTGCTGAGGAAGACCGGCTCTGAGCCAACATCTACCACCAATTCTCCTCCTTCCCCCCGCCCCAAAGCCCCAGCAGATAGCTGCATGCCATAGTTGCACATCCTTCCAGCTGCCATATGTGGGATGGGGCCTCAGCATGGCCGGAGAAGGGGTGCGTTGGTGCGCGCCCGGGATCTGAACCCGGGCCGCCAGTAGCGGAGCGCGCGCACTTAACCGCTAAGCCACCAGGCCAGCCCTCTTTTTATTTTTTAATTTTTGTGTGTGTGAGGAAGATTAGCCGTGTGCTAACATCTGTCGCCAATCCTCCTCTTTTTGCTGAGGAAGACTGGCCCTGGGCTAACATCTGTGCCCATCTTCCTCCATTTTATATGAGATGCCACCACAGCATGGCTTGACAAGCAGTACATCGACACATGCCCAGGATCCGAACCCCAGGCCATTGCATGGCAGTGCGCGCACTTAACCACTACACCACCGGGCTGGCCCCTACTGCTAATTTTTTCAGGTGTGATAATGGTATTGTGGTTATGAAAGAAAATGTCTTTATTTTTAGAGGTGCATACTGAAATGTTTATGGATGAAGTTTTGTGAGTAGAATTTATTTTCAAATACTTCAGGGGAAAAAAAAACAAGTGCAGGGGCCGGCCCGGTGGCACAAGCGGTTAAGTGCCTGAGCTCTGCTGTGGTGGCCAGGGGTTCACCGGTTCAGATCCCAGTGGCACACCGACGCACTGCTTCTTAGGCCATGCTGTGGCCGCGTCCCATATAAAGTGGAGGAAGATGAGCACAGATGTTAGCCCAGGGCCAGTCTTCCTCAGCAAAATAAAAAAGAGGAGGATTGGCAGATGTTAGCTCAGGGCTGATCCTCCTCACACACACACACACAAAAAGCAAGTGCAGCAAAATGTTGATAATTGTTGAATCTAGGTGATAGGTATATGGGGGGTTCATTATATTCTACTTGTGTGTATGTTTGAAATTTTTTATAATTTTATAGAAAGGGGGACGAAAGGAGAAGAACTGGAAGTAGGGATGTGGGGACCTCTCTTGAAGAGTTTTACCCTACCTGGGAATGCAGAAATGAGGCAAGCAGCTAGATGAAGATGTGGGTTGGGAGGAATTACTGCATGTTTGTAACTTTATGATGGCAACACCTCAGTATGAAGAGAGAAGTTAGGGGAGTGAGAGGGTAAATTGCTGGAAGAATGTCCTTGAGTAGGTGAGAAGGAATAGAATCTGGAGCTAGGTGGAGGGGTTGGCCTTATGTAGGAGCACTCTCAGCCCATCGAGAGGGGAAGGCAAAGTCTGTGGGCCCAGATGCCCAGGTGGGAGCTTCGAACACAGATGGGAGAGGAGCTATTTCAGGCTTGAGGAGAGGATAATGTGTGAAATAATAATTCCAGAGAAGGAGAGAGTGATGAAATAGGGAAGTGTAGGGTCCAACTGAGGTTTGTAGTCATGAAGAGGGAGAGATGAGGTAGCATGTCTTCTGTGTTTTTCCAATGATAGTCAGTTGAACATTGCAGGTGGGAAGTAAGCAGAGTGGCATTTAATCAGAGTTGGAATTTTGCCAGGATACAACACTCTAAGAGAGGGGCTGAAAAGTTGAAGTAGTGATTATGATGATGAATCATGGAGTCTAAATTGGATAAGAAGAAACTTGAGAACATGAGGGAGGTGAGAGACAGTAAAAATATGAGTGTAGATCAGTAGAGGATAGGTTCTGGTGGGGCCAAACAGTAGTTAGAAAGATAAGATATTGTCATCAGAGAGTGGATTGCTTGAAATTGGGCCTATGAAGGAGGTACAGTTGTTCATTAGTAATGATGAGGTCTCAAGTGCCTAGTTGTCTCACAAGTGAATACAGGTGTGACAAGACATTGGTCCTCTCAGCCCTTGAAGTTTCTGGCAGGGCCTGGATAGTCAGACCTCTCTCTCTGGCTGGTTGCATTTGATCATAAGCAGCATCTTGTGATTTGCTCCAGTGTGTTGGGTAAATATTACTTTTTATGTATGCCATGAAATGAAAAAGGTTGAAATATTGGTATGGGTGTGACCATGGGAATGGGTAGCTGATGTATAGTAGAAGCAAGATCATTGGAGGAAAGGAAGCCTAAGAATTGAGAGGCAGGGAATTGGAGGGGTCATCAAGATTTGTACAAGAATAGTGATGGAGGCAGCGACAGTGAGCTGGGAGCTAAAGCCTTCAAGGAATGAGGGGGAAACGTGGGGTGTCTATAGATGACAAATTGGGGTACTGTCTAGTATGATCTGATGACATGAAATATAAAGCTGGGCTCTTTTAGTGAAGAGGAAGAAATCACTGAGAAGCAGTGATGAGGACACCTCCCCTCTTTAGGCCCAGTGATATTACCAGTGTGGGAGAAGAAAAGAGTCAACCACTTGAGAGGACAGCTCGGGAAG